ATATACTATATAATTATATGATTTCCAACTTAAGATTTTAACTTAAGTTATATAAAAGAAAGAATTCTATTTTCGGTCGAAGTGGACTTTGATGCTTAACATTCATATATAAATTTGTGAATACATATATATTTGCAAATTTGCATTATGAATATTATTAAACACAAAGTTTCGACTGAAAATTCTTCCTCTTATTATTGATTTAAATTAAGATACTCTTGAAAATCATACGATTATGTATCAATCTATAATTTTTATGTTAATAAATAATAAATATGCATATGAATATTATAAGATCCGCTTGAAAATGATTCTTTTTTTACTTGTAATGATTCTTATTAAGTCTAATTTCCACTTACAATTGTTCAGTTAAATATCTATTTCATTTTTAATAACATTTAATGGATGTCGTAATGTTTTTTTTTATCTACATTGGATTGCCTCGTGTGTGTGAATCGATTTTCTAGAAACATTTCCATTTGTCGCACCGAGTTACGCAGTGTCCTGGCACAGGACGTAACTTTCAGACACTTCTTTCGGATCTACAACAAAAACAAAACTTTGTACAAGTGTCATGTCTATGCGTGACGTCTTTTTGCGGCCTTCAATTCAAGAAAGACTTCGCGCAATCGGCGAACACCTGGCGCATCTCAATAATGCAGGCCGCCACGACACTACGCGTTGGTGGGCGTCGCGCTTTATTGATATCGTGCTCGTGAAAAGAGAGAGAAAGAGAGAGAAAGTGGGAGAGAGAATGAGACCATAATCAAATTCCGTGTTATATGTCCGTGACTGCGTGGTATAAGATAATAATAGTCCCAACTGCACTTCCCGGAGGCCGGCACGTCGTCGGCATCGTGCACGTGTACTTTATACCATTATGCTAAAGTAGCCGGCGATCAATGGCGTATCTCGCGACTTAAGTGATTAATAAGTCAATTAATTTCATATCGTGTTTTTTATTCATACATGTTTGCTTTCAATTGGGATATAGGCGAACTATTACGTAACCAAAGTTGATTTAATGTTATTTCTGTAGTACAAAATTATTTGTATTATACTGATTGCTTGATCTATATCTCTGTATTTTTTTATACTTTTATATTTTTACTTTTATCTTTTTGTGTTTATAGATAGATAGATAGATATGAACAAAAAATTATAGTATACATATATCATGGAAAGAACGATTTTACTGAAGTATATCTAAAAATTTAACTAGATACGGATTTGAAAATAATTTTCTGTTAAATTATCAAAATAATTGCGTAGAAATCTTAAGTTGTAAAAAGTTTTGATATTCTAGCAATTAGTTTGAACGTCCTACATAATTATTTTAATAAACCAAAAAATTATTTTTAAATTTGTATCTCTAGTGAACTTTTTTGATATTACGATAAAATCCTTTTCATGTATAAAAAGTTATATTTATATAATTTTTCCGTACATTTTTCTGCGTATATCTTTAATTTATGGTATTTGAGGGATCCTTATTAATACGATTTAATAGGTTCGATCTGCTTCGCTATTACTGGTATTCGCTTTTAGACCGTGAGGAAAACTTGAAAACACATTAAAACACGTGTTTTCTCATTCCTCTCGCCATCTCTTATTGATGTGCAGCACGAGAGAAAGAGTATTTCGACCTTTTGGAAGACTGCCAGAGAATGCGAATTGACGCATATATACTCTTTTTCAGTTTAAAGGCACCAATGCTTAACGGCTAAATATTTTGCGCTTTCTTTCTGTTCAGTGAAGAAGCGTCGCGTTGCTCGGGAAACTCGAGCGTGTGTTTCCGCACGCATCAATTTGTCGGAATGACGTTTATTCAAATATCCGTAGTGACGTAACTGGAGCGAAGTTTCATGTATCCTTTCTTCACGCTTTACGTAATCGTAATTACAATAATGGTTATTTTTTTTTATTGCAAATTTAAAGTATAATTCATTTATAACATGGATCACCTTTTTATTTGCATGTATAATTGCGAACATCAATTTGCATACATACTACATAAAAATTTGCATAATTTATAAATATACAACTTTAATTTTTTAAAGTAATTATTTTTTTCATTAACTTTGATATCTTCTAAATGCAATATTATAAAATACTTTCTCGATATAAATTAATTTCTTCCACAATATCTTCTACATAATAATTGCTGATATAATAATGATATTCATATGCACATGAAAAAAAATGGTCTTACCGAAGTATTTAAGAATTTAATTAGATACGGATCTGAAAATAATTTTGTTTCGAATCATCAAAATAATTATGTAGGACTTTTAAATTGGTTGCTAGAATGTTAAAAATTTTTACAAATTATCAATTTTTAGATGTTGTATACTTTAGGCATCTATAATTATTTTGATAGTCCGACAAAATTATTTTCAGATCCGTATCTAACTAAATTTTTAGATACTTCAGCAAAATCGTCCTTTCCATGCAGACAAAAAAGTAGCATAATTTTTTAGAGATGAACCTGGTCAGTTCTTGCAGATAGATTTTACTGATAATTTCTATTCTGCATTTAAAGAAATCGCAACGCTTAACATTATACTGTTAAATGATTTGCTATCGGTGAATTTTTATTTCGGCGTCAATTTCTGTCTTCGCATCTTTTAAGTCTTAAGTGTCTACAATAAGTTGCAACACTCCGTCGCTAGTCGCAACGCTTTGCAACAGCCAATCAGAAGTGTCAATAATAGTTAGTGATGCTTTTGATTGGCTGTCATGAAGCATTGCGACTGGTAACGGTGTATTGGCATCTTATTGTAGACCACGCTTTAACGTGCGTGATATTCGATCCGATCACGCTGTGCACCTCGTATAACTTAAGTACAAGTAGAGCGCGAGCTATAGAGCTCCTATCACATAGGAAGGTGTATACCCGTGGATTTATCAATTATAAAGAAGGTCGTAAGATCGGCCGATGGGTAAGAAACTTTGAGCGTGCCCAACCGCTACCAGTCTGATATCCCGGCTGGCCCGTGGAGTACCGGACTCGCGTGGTTCTCGTTTCTAGCGTAGTTCATCAGCTTCTCTGACTCTCATCGTTCCTTGTGCTCAGCCTCGCAATTTTTCCGTTTTCCATTTTCATCTGCAACACTTCTCAACTCCTAAACTCTTCTTCACGACGAGAGAGGATCAGACCGCTGGCTCGGTAGGATCTCTCTCGCGAGGCAGATCCTCGTCTTCTCTCCACCGAAGAAATCACCGCTTCGAGATGAGCATCATCTTCCTCGCAAGACTGGCCGTGCGATCGATGGGCGCTAAGTGGCGGCAATCGAAAAGAGGGATCTTCAGGAAGTATCGATACGAACGTGGTTTCTACTAAACGGAGCCTGCGGTTCTTCCATTTCCCAACGAGGGCCCCTCTTTTTCCGCGCTGGCTCGCCTTATTGTGCATTGCCGCTGTCGCTTGTTAAAGGCAGTCTGGCCTGACTCGTTGAACCAACCCATGTAGTGAGGTGTGGTTATTCTCGCGGTATGAAGAGAGGACCGAAACTGGTTCGTTAGTCACCTCGTCCTTTTGCCCCGTTTGGTTTCATTCCATCCAAGTAGCTTCCCTTTTTCCTTTTCTCTTCGATTTTCTCTCGTCTCTCGTTCGTCTTCATCTTTTTCTCTTCTCCCATCCGCTAAAATTGGCGAGCGACCAACTCGTTTAAATTCGATTCGCAGTAATATCAATCGCTACTATTTCCCTTCTGTTTTCACATATTAATCGCTACCCACTACTTCGATTATTTCCACGGTTGCGCTCATTATTCAACTTGAGCGATAAGCCAGATAAAAGCAGATAAAATTGACCGTTATCATGTCGAGCAGATATGATAGTAGTGCGGTATAAGTCACATCATTAGTCTCCGTTCGGGGGAAAATTGCAACTATGTAGTTAAATATATCGATGAATCGTCCCGTCGATTCATGTCTCCCGTTGGTGCAATTTCCGATAATAATATTTTTTGTCGAGATTCACTTCGACATTTGCCGAGGTCCGTCTGATACCACGCAGATTGCTCGCGGAGCTCACATCGATTGCCGATTGACTGGTAACCGGCGTTGAAGCTACTTTTAATACAAGGCGTGATATAGCCTTCTTGCGCCTCAGAAAAGGAAACTTCGCAGATACTATCTCAAAGATAATGTAACAGTAATATTTCGTAACGTTGGCCTTTTTTCGTGACGATGGAATTCGAAACCCAGGCACTGATCAACCTTTGCTTCTCGACTCGCCCAATTACCAGGGCCAGGTACGTGGTGATTTGTGACAGTGATAAACTTTTTTAAAAGAAGATTTTAATGTAATCGATATTTTATCTGAATTGAAGATCAATACGATATGAAGACTCTTGACATTGAAATTAAAAATAGAATTATTTAATGAACTGGCTGTGCACAAATATATCATAGAAAAAATTACTTAAGCTTATCTTATAATTAATAGTTAATATTAATATCGTGTGTAATATAATATTTGGTAACAAAATTGAAATTTTTATCAGCATATATACGTATAATTTTTCATCAATCTTCTAACGTTACATTTTTATTTTATATTTTAACAAAATAAAACTAAAAAATTGAAGCGATATTACTTTTGTCGGTCGATTTTAAAATCTTGCATTGATGACTGTATTTATTCACCAGAAATGATGCTACGTTGTGTAAACTACTTCGATAACATATCAATTGCTGTTAGAAAACTTATTCACTAAGTACTTAACTGGATATCTTTCCACTCTAATTGATGTAAATATAGGAGAAATTAGGAAAATCTAAAAAGATCTAGCAAAGTTAAAATTTTGCAATTATGTTATCTTTTTAATAAATGCTGTTGGCATATTTTTGATGAATTTTATAATTAATTTTTTCTTAAGAGATGAAAAAACACGCATAAAAGGGAGGAAAGATTGTGAAAATCGTCGAGCAGCCTCCCTTCCTCAAGTCTCTTTGCAATTTCTCTCAAATCCCATCTTCCATCCTGTTCACAGGTCTGCGGGGTCCATAGGCGCGCGATCGGCACCCAGCACGCCCTTACAAGCCGCTCCCGAAGCCGGGGGCCAACAATCGATCAGCGGGTCTCAACTCACCGTGGCCGGCGCTAGCTATCCTCAGCCTCCGAGGAGCCCTAGTCACGCGGCCTTGAAATGTAATGACAGGTGAGGTTCCGCTCTGTCGTAAAGCTCGACGCCGCTGCGCTTGCCGCAACGCGGATTTGTGACCGTGAACCTGATGCGTTTCTTGCACGAAACGAAGTGTCGATACCTCCGGCGTTTCAATATTTTTCTGTGAAACAACGTATTGTTTTAAGATTGGCGCGTGCATCAATGTTATATATTATACTATTATACACTTTCCTATAAACAAATTGGAAACTGAATAGGGGGATACTGGATCGAAATAAATATTTATTTTAAGTAAAAGGATTGTAGATACAACACATATAAGTAATGTGACACATAGTAACGTTAATAAAAAATGCTTTATCTCTTTTTGAATAATTAAAATATTATAATACTTGCAAATAAATGAAATATTGAAATCAATGTACTTATCTATTTCATTTATTTAAAAAGCGAGACAGCTTATGCTTTATAATTATTGTACGTAACAGGAAATTGAGCAATAGTCTGCTGACGATATTCTGTTGGTAAGAATGATAAATAATTTTCTACACGAATTTTTAATTAACCTTATTGATATCATTTTCAATATTATTGTCAACTTTGCTTCCGCAAGTCAAATGATTTGCGCGTAAAATAGCATGCGTTATCGATTCTTGGAAATTATCACCGAGCAACGAAGTGATAATGTCACATCTGTACACGAATTGCAGAAGAGTTCAGAAAGGGAGAGAGAGAGAGAGAAAGAGAAAGAATATGGTTTCGTGATAAGACCATATAATTAACTTGTTTGTTTGTGTACTGGGAAATACGTTCCTCGAGATAGCTGCCACGTCATAATTATCGAATGCCACTGATAACTGCATTTATTTATGGCATTCAAATATTATTACGGCACACTTGCCGTGATAATATTAGCGAAGTCAGACCACCCTTTTGTCGGCGTAACTTAAACAGAAGACTCATAAAGGAAATAATTTTAGAAATGTATGCAATTAATCATTTTTTTTTATTCAGATCCAGATTAAAAGAAGAAGTATAACTTGTTTTTCTAATCTGGAATCTAAGTGAATTATTCTGTTATAAAGTAAATAATTTATTAAGAAGCATACGTGAGGAGCTGCTAATTGTAAAAAGTTAAAAAGAGAAAAGTTCTTTTTTCTCACAGATGTGTGAAAAGTATCGTCGTTAGATTAGATTAGAGTAACTGAGGTATTTACGCTGCAGAAGTCAGAAAAAATAGAAGGAGTGGCGATAATTCACTACTTTGTTATATGCCTTTATGTTATATTAGTTTATATTAGTAACATTATTGTGTTATGATTTCAATAATATATACAGCAAAAGTACAAGGGTTTTACAAATTTTTTTTTAATATAAAAAATAAGTATTTCGGATTCCTAATATTTTTTTCATAATAATAGACAGTAGTACAAAGTTTTTTTTACTAGTGTAATTTATTTACTTTAAACATAATAAATAATACTTGATAAATTAGGCTTTTTTTAAATGCGACGCATATCTATGCTGGAGTTACTCTATGAATTAATTGTATAAATTAGACACATCTGTTTTTAATCATACGTTATTTTGTTTTGTTACGTAATACACTTTGTTTTTTTTAATGAAATGTTTATTAAATGCAAGCGGTGAAATACGTCGATTTTAATAGATAATACAAGACTTGAAAAACCAGATTTTCGTCTTTTACGCATTAAAAAGGAGCAATTTGTAATCAGAGCATCGATATAGGTCGACATTATCATCGCGTGTTTAACGCTAAATACCACGGAGTTAGACAGCACTTGTAGCGTTAAATCACGTCGAGAATAGAATTGTGTTTTGAAACAGTTCAATCGTATAGGAATGTTTTGCGGCCATTCTTACAATAGTCGCTCCATGCATACTGTCCGTAAACGGTTATTACAGTACAAAGCATGACGTCGCGCGTATTATCTGGGCAAAATTGTCTTTTGTGACTAAACCGTCTTGCTATAAAGTGTAAATATTTTGTTGTTCAATTAATCTTGACAATACTTTCGCAATTCTTCTTAAATAAGATTAAAAGAATCTTTTTTTGTGAAAAGTACAATAATATTTCACCCGTAAAGTTTTTCTGTAGAAAATTGTTTTATAAAATGAAAATTTTTTGTAAAATTTTTACTCGTCTCACTCTAAGAAAATTTTGTTATACAAATACGACAATTTTTTTCTATTAAAAGAATAATATATATAATTTCTTTCAGCGTTTACAAATCCGATTTAATTAATTGAACCTTTTAATTATAAAAAGATTCACGTATCTACTTTTTCTAGCTATCTTAATTCTGGCAAAAGAAAACAAATATTAGATAAATATTGTTTACAATTCGTTTTTACGCTAAATTCTCATTAATATTCATTTTGATGCGCTACGTAAAAACTATATATTCCTCATCTACATATATTCTATAGAAGTATAATTACATCTCTCACAAAGAGAAGAATTACTAGCGGTCAGTTCTGATAACTGCCACGATATAGATTACAAACGTTCTGTGTACAATCACGTATGACATATATCACAAGAGATAATTCTAAAAAAAAATGACGTACAAGTGACATGAGGGAGACGTGCAATATGTCTTATTGAACGGATGAAGATGTAATAACGGAAGAAAAAAATTTTTCCATTTTTTCTGCCGCGCCTCGATCGTGCACGTTTTTGCGGGATTATTCGCCAAATTGTGAAACTCGCGCCTGTATTCCTGAAACTTTGTGCCGATATTTCATTAGCTTTCGCGAATCTTATCACACTCGAAGTTCTATCTGCCACGTTTATCTCGTCGCTTTTTATCATCGAATCCGCTTATTGCATCCGTCAGTTATCATCATGTGACTTTTTTTTTTGTTCGTTTCGGTTCCGGCGAGTCTCTTAATCGAGTGAGATGGCACAACGGCCGCTCCAGACAGTCTCCCACGTGTTATCATTGCTGCCGGCAGCGGATTGTTAAGCCACGGATCGTGAACCAGTTACGCGTTACGCTACGCTTCGGACGGGTCATCTTCACGTGCGAAAATCGCACGGTACGCGACGCGATCGGGAAGATGAATCGGTGATTCGGATTGAATCATTTGAATACTTTGGAATTTCTGCAATGCAGTATTCTCTAATGAACAGAATAAAAATCTTATCTTGCTGTAATTAATTTTATTGTAAGAAAGAGAAGACTATTTGTTTATATTTTTTATACTTTTTTAAATATTCTCTGAACTCGAATACTTGAGTTCTAGAAGAATATGTGGATTTAGACAGACATTACGAAGGTATAAATTTATGTGAATTATTTGTAATTTACTTTAAATAATTATTTTAACTAACAATTTTATTTAAATTGTTTTATTGATTAAATTGAAAAAGGTAAAGAATTTTTTTAATTTTAAGTTTACTTTTTAGCGAAAAATGTAGATTTTGATGCAGTAATTTGACTTATAAATTTTTTTACATTCTCTTCAATGCTTGGAAGAAACAATAATTTGAATAAAAGATAATCTCTTTCAAGTTTAAAATAATTTAGATAAAAAGTAATTTAAATAAAATAAATATTTTATCTATCCAGCTTGTGTTGCAATTTTCAAAGGCGAAGGCTTTCGTATTTTTCAACGATACGTGAGTTTTGTCACCGTTCAACGCGAAACTGTGGTTCGAACTGCAAACTGTGTCGATAAAAGAGCATACGCATGATGTTGTTTCAATTTTTAAAACGCGAAAAACGAAGTGCAATAAAAAATTCGACGATGTGGACGCAAGTGGAGATGTTTGGTAACGATTTGCGGAGTATTTCCATTACAGGAAAAAGAAACAGGACAATATCTGAACAAACCAACTCCAACATGTTAGCAGTGATTATTTTTGTCTGCTTATTTATTTGCAATATAGTTTAAGATAAGATGTAGAAGAGTAATACAATATTGCTTTTAAGCTTCAATAGAGGATAAGATATAATATAATGATAAGAATAATCTCTCTTGTGATTTTGTTTCCTCGAAAATCTATAAATCGAAATTTTCCTTTATAATTTTATTTTTAATTTATAGTTTTAATTTATAATTCAGACTGCTAAATGCCTTGACAATTTTTAAGTGTCAAATTAAATTAAAATTAAAGTTAATTACAGATTCATTTAAAAACGAAGTGTTTTAAATCTCCAAGGTTTGTCACAAATAATTATCGCATTTAATTATTGTCTAGTAAAGATATTTTAATCTCAAACATTCTGCGTATTATACGAACGTAATAATGGTACACAAAACCGGGTACCACGTTGTGTAATACGTTAAATAGCATTATCTCTCGGTCCGGACGTGTTTCGATATAATGTATAGAAAAGATAACCCTCGTAATACACATAGCGTTACTGTCCTGACCTCTGAAAAGATCAATGACTTTTCGGACACTCGATATCCTTCTCTGAAGACTTCAACTAGATGTTGTAGGAAATAATTTTTAATTAATATATCGTTCGAATAACATATTAAATTTAGATACGTAAGCAAAACATCAGCATATATTCTCTTTTTACCTAATAATATATTTTTGAGGGCGTAAGGCATTCTCGATGTGACGACATTAAATGCAATAGCGTCAGTAAAAAGGGAAATGTTTTAATTGATCTTTTAAGATCATGAAAATTTCACGCTTGAATAAGTTGAACTATACGTACAATTTTATTTTATAATGTAGGTATATGTCACAAAAATATGTCTGGATTATGATTATCATTCTAAAAATTACGTTTGTAATTAAAATTATTGTTACGTACGTAAATTTTATTTTTACTATTATGATAATGTTTTAATAATTATATTATTTTTTACAACTACTATTATAGTAATTATTACAATATTATTATCTAATTCTTAATGTAATTTTTATCTCAACAATTATTTCGTGTTTTAAACAAAATATACTTAATTTTTTTAGATACTTTCGATTTTAACCATACGATCGGACGACGAATTTACCTCGTACTTAAAATAAATACATTCTCGCGTAATATCTAATATATTTATCGGTAAAAGTTCCCTTATATATTTTTATTTATTTTTCTTTTTTCAGTCACCTTTCGAAACCACTGAGTAGGAGTACTCCATCGATGGCAGCTGGCGGCGTGCAAACTCCAGCAAAGGTTAGCAGAACCTCGTCGAGGTCGTCGCCGACTACCAGCAGCGCGAGACAGAAGAAGTTCCACAGGCACTTCAGTCAGGTACAGATACGTTTAAGTGGTACATAAATTTTCTTAAGGTTCACGACAGAGTACTAATACGAGATAGTACGAGAAGATCTAAAAGAGAACGCCCTGCAGATGTTGTTCTTTCCATCAGTAACACAACTTGCTTAATCCGGATCCATTATCATGTTGCGATAGTTATTTAATCTTCATCCGGGGTAGAGATAGTGTTTTAACTTCTCCGGACGTAGGATATAAACGCATACGTCAATGCACGCCTCTACGTGCAGTATAAAAATACTTCCCCTCATCTGTCGGTGAACTTCACAGAGGCAAAAGTCCCAGGTGTTTGATAAAAAGATAAATTATTAAAATATATTGGGATGTACATTATATTATTCATTATATTAATTATTATATCAATAGCTTAATTAATTATATTAATTATTATATTAATAGCTTTGCTTTTAGTTTATGTCGATTGACGTTATTGTCGAATACACAATAGCTTGCGTCACACACAAGTGAAATTATTAATGAATGCGAGTTTGGCGCAATAGAGAGAGTTTCTTGATGTTTAACGGATATTTTATAAACAAGGATCGTGTGTCAACTTGAAACAGAGCGTCTTTAGAGCGAAAATGTCATGCACTCTGTATCTATTAAGCAACAAGTATACACTTGAAACGAGCTGTCCTGAGTATGACAAATGAAGGATGTTCTTAAAAAGGAATTTGAATGCTACAACACTGCAAGAAAATGAAATCTTGATTCGGACATTTACAATAAAAGTGAAAAACGTTTCAGGTTATATACTGTAAAAATTTCTCGATGTATTCTCGAATGTTGAAAGAGTGTGCTAGAATTTTTCAGATTTTTCAGAGTCCAAAAACACAATCAGGCACTAATGGCTCGGTTGGACTAAAAAAGCAGTGAAAAAAAACGTTGCACCACGAAGGATTAATTTTTACTATTTTGCGTTGCGTTTCTGTCCATAAATCGATGGTCACATAAACTCAGTTTTATCAGCTATCATAGGGAAAGAATTTTGCTGTAGTATCTAAAAATTAAGTTAGATATAGATCTGAAAATAATTTGTAAAAAATTCAAGCATGATAAGTAGGTAATACAAAAAATTTTGACATTTTAACAGTTTAAGCGTTCTACATAATTATTTCTAAATTTATGTCTATCTAAATTTTTTAATTCATTTTAGTAAAATCATTCTTTTCGAGTAGTATTTTACAAAAATTCGCGCGAATGGACAAAGTAATAGAATCTTTTAGAGGAAAGATTTCTATTTGCATTTCACCGCTTCAGTGAAAGGGCAGTACTGACCTAATGGATAGTCTTCGAAATTTCGCTATCAGGTGGCCGAGGATGAGCGGGTATTGAATTACTACAGTTGCGCGCTGGTGGGCGACATCCTGCTACAGGGTCACCTGTACATCACGCCCAACTACTTCGCATTCTACAGCAATGTGTTTGGCTACGTGACGAAGCTGCTGATACCGACGGTGTCGGTGTTGAGGATCAGTAAGGAGAAGACGGCGAAAATCATACCGAATGCGGTGGCAGTGGCTACTGAAGAGGAACGCCACGTCTTCTGCTCACTGCTCTCACGCGATTCTACCTACAAGCTGATGAAGCAGGTTTGGGACGCGGCGATGGAGCCGCAAACGACGGTAGATGTGTTGCCGGAGATTGACACCGACACGACGAAGTGTCTCGCGCCAGTCGACGCCGACGTCGACGACGATTCGAGTGTGTCTGAGAGTGGTACTGATATCACGCAACCGAACGTCTGCACCACCGATCCCGATGGTGCTCCTGAGACCCTCACTAAGCCAAATTCGGCACCCCCCAGGTAGTCTTTCTAATTTCGATCCGTATAATTAAGAATGTATTACACGTATTTTCTAACAAATGAACGAATTTTTTTAATTATATATTTTTCTATATATTGTATTTAAAAGTATATAAAGAGTTTAGCGACGATTTAGAATCTGGATAAAAAATTATTTCAATAAAAAGTAGACATGTTAAAAAATAAAATAAAAATATGAGATAAATTTTCATTTTAACTATAAAATTGTATTGTTAAATTTATTTTAAATTATATTATAATATAAATATTTTTTGACATTATTGATTCATAAGTATATAACATTTATTTTTACACGGAAAGTATAAATTTTTAATTTCAATTATTTTTTACACTATATTTTAGACTGTATACATCCCAAAAGACGAAACATGTAAATAAAAAAAATTAGTTTAATTAATTAGTTTAATTAATTACGGTGAAATTATTTTTACCCGAATTAATTTTAGATGAATTAATTTAGATGAAATAATTAAAAGTTTAACAATGAGATTAAATCATGTAATATGCGGGATATAAAATAAAGTATAATTTTATTTGCTTTCTTGCAACAACAAAAAAGGTTTAGAGATAATCTTATCGAGTCTATTCTCACAATTAGTTCATAGCTTTGCGAAATATGATACGTTGAATTTGTTTTCGCAATTGTCGCTTATTTCGCTTATTTTTACCTTTCGTCTTTCTTTTCAGACTGGAGACAGCAGTATTAACAAAGACGCTGACACCGAGCAAATCCGACAGGCTGAGATCTTTGTTTACCAATGGAATGAAACCTGGCATGGTGATAACGATACTGGTAGCTCTCTTGGCAATTCTTTACGTATCGGCGGCTCTAATGATGATGCGTATTGACAGGCTGCACACCGCTTATTTAAACCATCCCCTCGTCTCACCGGAACGTTTCACGCAAGATCGGTTGTTGCACTATCTTAACACGAATCTAGATCAAATAGTGAAGGTAAATTACCTTACTTATTATTGATTACATTATAGATTTTACGTTGTATCAATAGGATATTAAAGTGCAAATTTAAATAATGACATTATTATAATAAAGTTTTTGGCGTTAACAAACAAATTATATTTTCTAATTTAATGTGTGCACATTAAATAATTATTAAAATAAATAAGATTTATTAAATTGAATTAAAAATATAAGATTTACTTTAAAAAATAATTACAAATGTTATGCATATGTGATGATATTTGATCTCAATATTTAAAATAATTTTAGTTCCAAAAATTAAATAATAATTGAAATTAATTAATTAAATTGATTTTAAAAAAAAAGATATTTTTTTATTATTCTAAAACATAACTACACAAGTTGAAAATGTATATTTATTTTTATATTTTTGTATATTACTTTATAAGATAGATAAATGTATGAGTAATTTTTATCAAGTAGTGTATAATCATGTATCGCGCCAGGTGTTCGAATTTTATCGCGATAATTGAAATCACAGATAATCGAAGTAAATCAAGTGTATGATTGATGAAGATGTCTAATCGCATAGTCTGAGTAATTAACTGTGTCATGTTTACTTGTGATACGAGGGAAATATATTTGTTTGTAGGTGCGGCAGAGTCTGCAGACACTATCGCAGCAGTTTGTAACGATGAGCCGGGGTGGTAGCCAGACAGGATCGGCCGGTGGGGTGGTGGAACCGGAAGATGCGCCGAGTTAGCCCTCGACGATAGGACTCGATTTAATTCAGCCAAAAAACGACACGGGGTCCCGTCGCCCTACTGGCGAACGTAGCATTACCTCGTGAATGGCGACGCTGTCGCCTATCGTTGTCATTGTCTTCGTCGTTGCTGCGCTACTCGTCGACGATCGCGGGGATCGTTTCTATGCGTAGATCATCGCGCGATCGTCCCTCCAAATAGGAGTTATTGTCGTTTTAGTACCTAGACTTCTGTAGGAGTTTAGAGAGGCAGCTGTCTCGTAAAACGAGAGCTCTCGGGCTCATCCCGAGAGTGTATTTTTCTCGAACGAACTTTAAAGCGAACCTCGAACGCCCGCGTGAGTATATTTGCGGATTATACGTTGTTTTAACGGAAACATACACATATGGATAAATATACCTCAGATACACATATATAAACTATATATATGCATACGAAGAAAGCGAAGATACAAAGGTAAGTGAATGGCGAGCGAAAGGGTTTTTGCTTTTTTTTTTCTTTTTGAGCTAGTCACGCGTGTACCTAAGCCCTGGGGTACGACAAAAGAAATAGAATGAACAAAAAAAATGGTATATGTATATATACATATAGTATATATCTACAGTTATATACATATAAAGTATCTATACATACAGATATAGATTAATAATGCATATTTCGCGCGATTACTTGTTCGTTAATTATGTATTTCGAGCTAGTCGGGCACTACTCTGTCACAGCTGATATATATATATATTAACAATATATTAACAAGAATGTATTAACAAGATCAACACATATTATATAGCATCACAATTGGATAATCTTGATGTAGCGCGTAATACATGCGCCGAGCGATAATACTTCATGAATGAAGTGTTTACTGAAATATAATAGAATTCGCTTTCCTTATTCGCCATTAGCTCTTTCAGTACCTGCCTTAAACCTGCATTTAATAATGATATAAAAATTTAATAAAATTATTCTACGGTGCGTCCCATGTTAATTCCCGCCACGTTCTCGATGTCTCGATGAGACTGTAGGGTTTAATTTTCTCCGCTGTCACTAAATAAAATTATGAAATGTTATTAATGGAGACAATTCGTGACGTTCTATGTTAAGCAAAAATACAGATCTGAACATTGAAGAAACACGATTTCTTTAAAGTTTGAAGTTTAACAGATTCTTAAAAGAATATATATGTGGAGTTTTCTCTGTTATGCAAAATGGATTCTTCAATTAGTAAAGTTTTTAATTTCTCAATAACTTTGCTAATCGAAGAGAAATGTGACTTTGTAGTTATTTGCTATATATAATAATTTTAAAGTGACATTTAAATGATTCTCGATGTCTTTACAGACTGTAGCATAAACTAAACTATACTATATTACAAATAGAAAAGGGGTTTTTTTGACAAATTTAAATGAGAGTTGAAAAGAATGAAGAGACTCTTGCCTAAATATTAATGTTTGCATATTTGTATCCCTCAACGAGCGTAAGGGAGTATTTACTTAATGACAGTTAAAGTTAAGTGAAATATACTGATGAACGCCGGCTGTAAAATTGCATTGAATTAATACGTGAAAGGTGCTAATGTCCCTACATTTAGTTTGGTACTGAAAGGGTTAAATTGCGCAGCTCGGATGGACCTGGAGATACAAGAGAAAGGAAGAAAGAGAGTAGGGAGGGAGGGAGGGAGAGAGAGAAATCGAATTCTCTTGTGCGTGACTATTCCTATTATATGATTGATTCTGGAAGTAAATGATGGCATATATCTTCTGGATTCGATCACACGAATCGTTTGTATCGAAAGTGATTCAATTTTGAAAGTTTGTCAAAATTTTGAGAATCTTGAAATATATAAGGGCATCGATTTGTTGTGTCTTACTTAACTCATTTATGCTCAATTGACTTGCTTTAATTGTTAATAATTTATTTACTTATTAATAATTTATTTGATATAAAACATTAGACTTAATTAATATAAAACATTAGACTTAATTAAAGCATTAGACGTGATGTTATTTACGATTAAATGTTTATAATGTTTTGTAATTATTTATTTGAAAAATGTTTTTATTCGAAAAGTGAGGAAAGATATTTTTTTTAATTATTTCTAGTTGAGCGAATTTTTGTAAATTGTATTAATAAAAAAATTATGTATATTGAAGTTCCTTGCCATATATTGATTTAATTAAATTATAGGTAGAGCAATAATTAATTCCGGCATAAATGAATTAAGTTTGTTACCTTTCGAAGCTTAACACTTGTCGCATTTTCGAGACGAACGGCTCGCGCGCGAAAATGCTCGCGAAATATTTCATTTAAGTTCATTTCTACTAATGTAGATTAACTTTAATCTCGGTTTAATTTATCCTTTATCTTTTTCTCAGAACTGAAGAGAGATAAAAAGTAAATTAAACCGAGATTAAAGTCAATCTATATTGATACGTATAGAAACGGGCAATATTCGAATAAATTCCGTAATAATTGTACTTTTTGGAACGAGGAATGTTTAAAGAAAAAAAATGGCGTTATTACATTTGCGATTATAATGGGAGACGAGAGAGGATGGAGGTTGACTGTGATAATAGGATCGTGAATGCGTGCTCTCAGAAGCACGATCGCGTTTAATTCTTTACTGCACAAATTTTTGTTTCCGTAAAATAAAGAAAAGAATGTTATCTTTAAGGAAAAAAAAAAAAAAGAAAACACGGAAAATGCGGTTTGTATGATATGTATGGTGCAGTGAGGAGATCGTTTTTATGATTTTTGCTAACTTTAGAGAAAAGGAAAAAAAGCAATTTGTAAGCGCGATCGTTCTCCTTCGAGCTCAATATGGAATCTAAGAGAAGTGCTGTTATATTAATTAGCTATATTTATAAGAATGTAAAGAGAGAAAGAAAGAAGAAAGGATAATCCCTTAAACGTTGTTTTCTATATCGGTATATTGTTTAATAATTAATTATACTGATGGAATATACAAACGGTATTACGGTATTACTTTAAGTTTCGATCTTTTACTGGACATTACCATTATTGTTACATTTCTATTATCTATTGACTACGTTGAATACGTTATTGTACTCGCGCAGGTAACGAGGCGAGATAACGATCGAATGCGATCGAATTGAGAACTTTATTTTTTTCTGATTATTCCTCTCGAAAAAATTGTGAAAACATGGGATGGGGCAAGCAGTATATCTTTCGCGTATCCGGACTCGAAACACACGACTCGACTTCGCGACGAGCATTTCGTCGACGTGAGAACGTATTCGAGATAAGTTTGACCGTAAATAGAAACGTATCGACCGACACGTGTCGTTACTAACAACTCGTTAAGAGGCGGAAGCATTCTGATACATGCGCCTAGTAAACGCGAGCACGCGCACGAGAAGCAGATCTGTAAATCGCTTTGCCGGAGAACCTTCAAATGGGATTTTGCGAACTCGATTTGTTGTACATTGTCATAATATGGTGAACCCCTGGAATTTATAAATATGATCTTTCGATCCACATCGCATACACAGAGATACCAATTTTGAGATGTTTTGTCATCCGAGTAATAAAGTAGATTATGGATTAGCCGTTTCCGATGTCTAGGAAGAATAGAGGAGCCGTCTGTGCAAAAAAGGGAAGATTGAGATGAGCAAACAGTAATATATTCCGCGAAATTGGAATTTGGAATTTCGGGAATTAAATCTGTTGACTATTTTTAATTCATCCAGTTATTGCGGACGTATTGCTGGACGAGATTGCTTCTTTTCGAGCACAGATAATTAAATAAGAATACTTTTTCGGGACATTATTTAAGACTTAATAAACAGAAGTAAAAAGAATGAATAGATATTAATTTAAAGATCGTTTATCAAGTGTTGACTTTGATAAACAAGTAGCATAATGCGTTTGATTGTCTTATGTCCAACAAACAAGAAGAAAGAAAATAAAATTCTGAGAGTATTCATTTTATTAATTTATGTTTACGTAGCGATAAATTTAATCCGAGGAAGCAATCTCATGTCGGAAATTTACGGCGATTGGTTGTGAAAGAAATTAGGAGAAGACATCGAGACGTATTGCGAAGATCATAGCCAATAAACGCGACAGCCAAGTCCTGTGCCAAATTTGGTAAAAAATTGAAATACCCTTAACAAAGACATGCTTGTTTCTGTCGATTGTCGTGCGCTTGTACAGCTTATCCGCCACATTAGGGAGTCAATGTTAAAAAAAAATTGTTACCTAGAGGAAAGTTATGCCAAACCATATTGAGATTCGTTTCACAACGAAACGACATTACAAAGTTATCCGGTCATCGATTTTTGATTATCCGCACAAAATTGAATTTTCGACAAAAGTTATTTGACAATAATAATGTGTTGTGTAATAATTGTTTCCCAATACGAATAATTTTTTTAAACTTAATTTAATTAAATTTAATAAATTTAATAAAAGGTTATTTGACATATTAATATTAATAACAGACATAAATTTCTCCTGTAAAAAATTGTTAAATTAAAAGATTCAATAAAATTTTATATAGACTCACATGAATCAGATTTTCATTTAAAGGGACAGATATGATAATTTCCTTTTAACTTATTTCTCTATAATCGCTTATTTTATAAAAACTGTATATAAATGTTTTTTATTTGCGACTTTGTTAATTTTCTGTGGGTGATCGCAGAATCAATGATCGTATAAATCGGCAGCAGAAAGGGCACTTTTTCCGCGTAAACGACGCAACTCATATAGACCGCGATGAAGCGTAAAAGATGATGATTGAGAGAAAAAAAATGCAGAGCACAAGACGATGAATCCCCGATCCGGAAATTACCCGAAGCGGATGTTGCGTTAGTTAATTGTATTACGTAGTCGATAGTATCTATTCCTCGTTCTTGTTTATGTATGACTGCTATTTGCCTTACTGTAATGTTTTTAGACATTTTAGATGGGTGCTCAATACACACGGTCCGTTTATTTAAGGATATATACGAATGTGTATAATGTGCTGCAAGATTGATGTCGGTTGTGTGCTTCACATATCGATTAAAGGTCTTAATATATATTTGATGGGACAGCTGAGATATAGAAATTTTCAAATTCTGAGTAGCTATCTATGATGAGCTGCTAAAGTACGGAAAGATTGTTCACTGTTGTTATACACTGTATGTGCAATATATTATATAGTCTCAAAATTTTATAATTTTCTATTCTTTCAATTTATTAAATTTTCTTATATATAATTACTTTTTAAAATATATGTTTATAAATATCTTTTAAAAAACTGATGTTGATTAAAGATAATGATTAAATTTTAGTAAGACATTAAAATAGATAAAATAGAAATTAGACATGATTTTTTTTCTTTCGTACATGTAAAAGTTTCTAATATATTTATGAAATATATCTTGTTTTGTGAAACAGGAATTGAAGAATAGGATGGAAAGAGTTATGTTTCGTTTACCTTTACAAAGTTGGACTGTGAAAAATATTGAGCGAGAGGCCTTTAAACGCGATACGCAAAGTGCACAATGGGCGGGTATATTTGTTAACGATGAAATTGCGGGGTTGCAGAAAAAGATTCGTGCCCGCAATTATATTATCGGATCTCGCAATTATTGCGCGCACGCGAGGAATCGTGTGGCAGGAAGGAATCCAAAAACAACTACAGACCAATAATTTACTACGTAATTTGTGTAACTCGATACACAGGACGCAAATAAATTTGTGAAAACAATTCAGTCGTATAAGTAGCCCACCTCACCCCAGGTCCACTCCGTTTCCTTCTACGCAGGCATTTCTCATTGTCAGCGGTTAATCTACAAACTGACCGCAACGTCCACCCACGAGAGTTTGCGGTTTATCGAGTTAATTACCGCTGCATCGTGAGTTGATAAGATATGGCCGTCTAATTAGGAATTTCATTTCAACTAAATAACATTAAATTAGCTTTTTCGCGTATTATGATTGAAGTTTATTTTTTAAATGATGATTTCCATTGTATATTTAACATAGAATATAAAACATCTATCTATATTTTTTTGGATGGAATAATATATGAACTAAAAGGATAGTCGAAGAATTGAGTCATTAAAAAATGCATTTAACCTTTAGAAGACAGGGTTTTATTTTAAAAAACCGTCAGCTTTCTTTTAAATAAATTTTTTTATGATTCATTATTTTATTGTATTCTTTGTTTTAAAATATAACAGTTTTAGCGCCACTGAAGTGCAAGTTTTTTGTTTTGTAAAGGTTAAATAATTTTTATAAATTTAATTTTAATTTATATATTATATTTGAAAATTTATATTAATTTTCTTTTTACAAATCTTGTTTGTAAAAATAATACAGATTTATAATGTTTCTTAAGTATTAGTTAAAAACATATCTTCTTTTGTTTTTAATTTATTTAAATATAGTTAAAAATAATTAAATATAATTATATATATAAATAAATACAATTTATTTAAATACATATAAAGAAACTTTGTTATAAAAACACCAAGTTAATCGTATTCTTTTCTTTAACAAATACTTTTTGCAACTTTAATTGAACTCGCCGAAGTCTCGTCTTCTGTCTCTCAAATATCATATTTAATAAATCACATTATTTTAAACAACATTTGTAAATATTTAAACAGTAAAATTAATTGATTTATTGTTTTCTTTGATAAAGTCACACATAATGCGCATTTTGATCATATCGACTCGTTTATTCAGAGATCGAAATGCTACACGCGATTATCGTAGTGGGGATTTTGCGGTTACTTCGTAGGAAGCTGTATCTCATATAAGAGGTAGGAACGCATTTACGAACGTCAGTTGCGGTGTAACTTGTGAATCTGTTATCGTTCGTGGTTGTTTCTGTTTCGTGGTTTGTTTCACCGTTGATTTTTAACAAAACCATACAAGGTAAGTTCAAATTTATTGTTTTTATTCAATAAAATTAGTTAAAAATTAGAAACGAGGAATATAATTTTTTTGATAATAAAATTTGGAAAGTATATACTATGCAATTAATTATTGTCACAATATTAAAAGATAGCAAGTATTTATGTTCAATAAAATTTTTATAAATTTTGTTAATTAAATTTTAATATTATTATATCAAAATTAATTTGTATAAATAATTATTTAATGAAATTATTTAATATTGACTTAAACTTTTTTAATGCATAAAAAATCATATACCTGTTTAATTATATATTTTATTAACGAATTTGTACTTCTATAATTAATGTATATATATATATATAATATATTATTTATTGTATGTTTTAAATTAATACTTTTGTGCTAAATTTAATTATTTAAATTATTAAAATTTTTATTCGCTTTTTACCAATCAGGAATTTAGTTTTCTTGATCTCCATTCCCTGAATATTATTCGTATTTCATATAATATGCGTATTTTAAATCTTGCGGCTTATCTACGGATCCTGTTTTATTTATAGCAATATGGTGATATTGCTGTAAATTATCAAGTTGAGATTTACTCATAAGAACGAAGCTTTTTTCGATTATAATATCACAGAATACAACTCGCTTTCAAAACAACACGAAGAAGCGCGTGGCTTGTATAACACGGCTTATTCAAATGAGGGGGATTGTCTCGAAATACCGGTTTCATTTCTATAACCGATATAAAAACGTTCGAGTGGTTTTCACAGTAATTCACCGGCTGGGAATGCGTAAGTTGCGGCATAGTATCGCGATTTCACACAGGTGGAATCCCGCATTTCACCTGTGCTGAGATCGTATCGAGTGAATCAGCGATCGAGGTCATTTGACATCGCCGATGGATCGATCGCCCCTTTACGGGACACGATTACGCGGATTACGCGTTCGGAATTTTTACCGAACTTTTACGCAATGTCTCCGTGTGAATCAATGACGGATACTGACCACTCATCGACCCGACAATGAGAACACGTCTTGTCACTCTGCAGCAATACCCAGGAATGAGATTGCAGAATTGCGATTGATGCATCGAATTTTACTTTTACTTCCGTATGAAACTAATATTTTTAACATGACTGTTAACTTTCCAAAAAATTATCTCTCCCTTAGCGCATATAACACGCGAAATTTTGTATCTTGTACGGATATCATTAAATTTTGGATTAATTATAATATTATATTGATTATATTGATTCAAAAAATTTAAGAATTAGTGTTTTTATAAGAAAAATTATTTTTCAAAATTTTGAGAACATTCTGTCTTAAGAAAATAACTCGGTGAAACGAGTTATAATTTCCACATATAATATAGCTCTACCCTAAAAAAAAAATCATGTTACAACGTTACTTGATGAAATCATGTAATTAAAACATGTAAATCACGTAACGGATTGTTCCAAACCAGTACGTGATTTTTTAAATTACGTAATTTGAAAAATCACACGATATTAAAAATAATTTTATCCATCATGTGATTGTATAGTTATAGAATTTTAAAGAATTGAATGATAGAAATGGAAGAAAAAAGAATATATCGTCATGTGATTTTTCAAATTACGTAATTTTAAAAAATTACGTACTGATTTGGAACAATTCGTTACGTGATTTACATGTTTTAATTACATGATTTCATCATGCAACTGTGTGACGTGATTCTTTCAAATTAATGTGATGAACAGAAGACATAATAATGGACATTATTATGTCTTCTGTTCATCACATAATAAGACTTAATAATGGACAGTTTTTGAGCTATAGTTGTATCAAAGATATAACATTAATGATTACAGAGCATCTTTAATACATCATAACTAAAAAACTATCCATTATTGAGTCATTGTCTATAATATAATTATTCATTATATTATAAACTGCATTATGTGTTAAAATTAATTCATTTCACCAAATTCAATTTTCTAATTAATGCGGGCCGGATAGTTTAATAAATTAATTTAACAAGTTATATATATAATCTCTTTTATATCTCGTAAATGTGTGATCATATATATATATTTTCTAATTGACTTTATTGATCTCTTTTTAGATGTCAGAAGAGCCGTTGGAAATTGAAGCAGTGCACTTGTACGAGAAGGAGAATGCCGAGACCCATCGCACCTTCAACTTCGAGATGGTCCATCAAGATCCGGCGATTCCCGTCCTTCGACGAGGACAAACCTTCCACATGGCCCTGAGATTCAATCGCGAGTACGTGGACGAAACCGACATTGTTCGATTACTCTTCAGTTTCGGCCCGAACCCCAATGTGCTGCGGGGCACCAGAGGAGTTAATACGATCACCAATAGGGAAGCTTATCTGACTGATCTGGAGGCTTGGGGTGTTCGCATGGTCGGCGCTCACGGAGTCGATCTGTCTGTTGAGGTCAGAAGTCCGATCGACAGTCCCGTCGGAGTATGGCAATTGAACGTGGAGACCACTACTCTCGGCAGAAGGAAAGCGCCGAATACTTACAGTTATGATAAAGATATCTACTTGCTCTTCAATCCGTGGTTGAAAGGTACGCGGTTGAGCGCGATCAACAACTTCAGAATGTTTAAATATATTATGGGATCTAAATCTGATATTTTCTCAATCGATACTAATTTCTAGCGCTATATATGTATATTAAAGGATTGAGAAATTACTTGATATAATTAATAATGAATTATTTTACATTAGAGAAGATTTAGCTCATTATTTTCATTAATATTTAATTTTGTGAATTTTGGTTCAAAATGTTCCGTGTTGGTTTTGCACGAATATTTCTTCGCAAATGCTTTTATTAATTGAGTTATGATTGTTCTTATTTTAAAATAATTCTAAAATGTTAAAGAAATATGATTAAATGTTAAATATGCAGAGGATTTGGTATACTTGGAGGATGAACAGCTGCTCGATGAGTATATCCTGAATGACGTTGGCAAGATATGGGTAGGTCCATGGGGTAGTTCTCGTGGTAGAGAATGGGTCTTTGGGCAGTTCGACGCGTGTGTGTTACCAGCTTGTCAATTGTTGCTCGAGAGATCCGGTATCAAGGCGATTTCTAGGGGCGATCCGGTCAAAATGGTTCGGGCAATCTCGAGAATCGTAAGATATCTTTTCCAATATTTTAGAGTTGACAATAATATCTGAAATATGAATTTATTTAGAATTACAAGCAGTCTCTCTCTCTCTCTCTTAACGATAACTGAAATGATTCGATCAAATAAGAGAAAGACTCCTATTTCGAAGCGCGAAAAGTAAGATATCTTTTCCAATATTTTAGGGTTGACAATAATATCTGAAATATGAATTTATTTAGAATTACAAGCAGTCTAACGACAACTGAAATAATTCAATCAAATAAGAGAAAGACTCTTATTTTCTATCGAAGCAAATTTTGGTGTGTTTCATAATATTCAAATTTCAAAATATACTTTTTTTAATTCTATAGTTCTGAGATAATATTTTTCTTAACAAGTTCTTTTAGTTTTAAGATGCTTACAATAAACTGAATAAACGTCATTATTAAATTGACGATCAATGTTTGTGATGTTATTTCCAGCTTCAATTTATGTTTGCATTTCAAATCTGACAAACTGAATCAATGCGCAGTTTATAAAACTGAAAAAAATAATTCTATAGTTCTGAGATAATATTTTTCTTAATAAGTTCTTTTAGTTTTAAGATGCTTACAATAAACTGAATAAACGTTATTATTAAATTGACGATCAATGTTTGTGATGTTATTTCCAGCTTCAGTTTATGTTTGCATTTCAAATCTGACAAACTGAATCAATGCGCAGTTTATAAAACTGAAAAAAATTAATTTGCATTTGAATATTATTAAGCATCAAGATCTGCTTCGACAACATAATTCGAAAACAGAATTCTTTCTTTTATTTGATTTATTCTTATCGGTCTAATTTTCACTTGTAATTAAAATATGATATAATGTTACGATTACTAGTTATATTATTCAGGATATATCATAAAATTACTTAATGTTATTCCAGAGAAAATAATTAGAAACGAATGAAAGTATTGCAACATTTAATTTATTTTAAAATTCAAAATGGCTATATTCAGTTCTTTTTTCATTTAAATTATCTTTAAATCAGAATCAAGTAAAATTAATTTTTTTTCCATTGTTTTTAGATAAATTCTAATGACGATAAGGGTGTGTTAA